GGGTGATGGGAAAGACCCCTGCCTGAGACCCTGGAGAGCTGTAAAGAGGGGCTGTGGCTCAGTGGCAGAGCCTCTGCTCGGCATGCAGAAGGTCCCAGGTTCAGTCCCCGGCACCTTCAGTTTAAAAAGGACCAGGCAGCAGGTTATGTGAAGGACCTTGTTCCTGAAACCCTGGAGAGTCACTGCCAGTCTGAATAGACAAGACTGCTTTGACGGACCAAAGGGTCTGTATAAGGCAGATTCACGTGTTTCTGTTTCTTTTTAAGGAGGAAGTTGTTTACTTAAAACCTTTTGTTTGTTTACCATCCTCACCCTGTTTGACCGTCAAAGCAGCTTATACAATGTATAACAACAATACTCCAAAGTAGTAATAAACAAAGTAGCCACTATCCTCCTTGTCTGCTTCACTCCCAAAGCAACATGCTCATTAGTAGAACAAAATTCAACCCTGGGAGCACCTTAAAGACCAACGCTATTTCCTACGGTATAAGCTTCCATGAGTCAAAGCCCATGGAAAGGCCTTCCCCCCCCCCCCCCCCCCCCATTATGTCACACAAGCTTTTGTAAGCCTTGGGCTATACATCCGGCAGCTCGGGCTTTGAGGAGTTCTAAAGTCTGTAAGCAACTGCAGGGTAAATTCAACAGCGATGGAATGTATTCATGCTACAGGCTGTTAACCTTCTGGGTACAGCGAAGTTGAAGAGGCTCAGATTCTCTGACCAGAATGAGGCAAGCACCACTTGCCTTGTGTAAGACAGGGTGCGTGCTTTCTGTCGACTGTGTTACTGCAGATGCGAGCAGAGAAACAGCAACCTGTCTATAGGTTGGATCGTGACGGTTGCAGCGGTCTGGAGATTAAAGCTAACCCTGGTTTGTTTGATGTTCTGTTGTGATGCTAAGAGGTGACACTCTTTGATGCATTTTGTTTTTGTTCTGTGAAGAAAGCTGATAATTTATTATTTAAGATGTGTCCTGGTACCCACTGCTTCAAGAAAATAGTGGCAACACTCAGGGTTTAAGAAGGTGGCCCCTCAACTGGTATAATCTACCTTTCCCTGCTACGAGAAAAAGTGGCATGAATGACAAATGTGTACATTTGTGTACTAGGTGCCCATCAGGAAACCTTATTTTCACAACTGTATGTACAGTAGTGCAGTTCTACAGTGTGGTGTAGTGGTTAAGAGCGGCGGACTCTAATCTGGAGAACCGGGTTTGATTCCCTACTCTTCCGCCACGTGAGGACTGCTGGGCGACCTTGGGCCAGTCACAGTTCTTCTCTCCAAACTCTCTCGGCCCCACCTACCTCACAAGGTGACTGTTGTGGGGAGAGGAACAGAAGGCGATCGTAAGCTGCTTTGAGGCTCTTGCTTTGAGACTTCAAGAGCCAGTTTAAGAACATAAGCCAATGTTGGATCAGGCCAGTGGCCCATCCAGTCCAGCACTCTGTGTCACACAGTGGCCAAAAATACCAGGTGCCATCAGGAGGTCCAGCAGTGGGGCCATTGGCATAGTGGTTAAAAGCTAGACTACATGCAGACTCTAATCCGGGAGAACCAGGTTTGATTCCCCACTCCTCCACATGGAGCTGCTGGTGTGCCCTTGGGCCAGTCACAAGTTCTCTCAGAGCAGTTCTCGAAGGAGCTCTCTCAGCCCCACCTACCTCACAAGGTGACTGTTGTGGGGAGAGGAAGGGAAGGTGATTGTAAGCTACTTTGAGACTCCTTAGGGTAGAGAAAAGCCGGGTATTAAAAACTGCCCTCCTCCTTATTCATCTTCACCCTCATCTTCTTCACATATTCAGGTTCTCTCACTTAACCCAGGATAAATAACATGTTAGCTCTGACATCTGATTCTGACCCAGTCTGGAAGTTTAGCTCCCTCCTTGGGGCTCCTTAACATGCAGTAGAACTTGCTTACATTTTGATGTCATATTTACAAATATGCCTTTTGTTGTTTGTTCTTTAAGGCTGTCTTTTATAAACCTTTCTGTTTTGCCCACCTTTATTGCTGGTGCTTCCAGTTCCTTTGTTTTCTTACTGCCATTTTTACATTAAATGCTATTTACAGGTCGTGTAAAATTAGCATTCAGAATCGCATAAATGTAATAGTAAAAAATTGTAAGAACATAAGAGAAGCCAATGTTGGATCAGGCCTATGGCCCATCTAGTCCAACACTCTGTCACACAGTGGCCAAAAATACCAGGTGCCGTCCAATGCTCCCTCCAAGCTATGGAGTTATGTGAGCAAAAATTCTACTTTGTGAGCTAGTGGCATTAAAGTTGTGAGTAAGTGATTTAGCTACTGCATAAATTAGTTTGCTCTGGAGCCATCCTTCCTGAGGTAAGACAAAACATTGTGAGCAGGAGGCTAAAAAACTGTGAGCTAGCTCACACTAACCCATCTTAGAGGGAACACTGGTGCCATCAGGAGATCCACCAGTGGGGCCAGGACATAAGAGAAGCCCTCCCACTGTTGCCCCCCCACAAGCACCAAGAAGACAGAGGATCGCTTGCCCCAGACCGAGAGTTCCTATCTATACCTTGTGGCTAAGAGCCACTGATGGACCTCTGCTCCATATGCTTATCTAGTTCCCTCTTGAAGCCGTCCATGCTTGCAGCCACCTCCACCTCCTTTGACAGTGAATTTCACGTGTGAATCACTCTTTGGGATTCAGCATTAGGAAATAGAAAATGATATGAAAATAAAGACTCACTGGTTTGATGTGTATGAGAGAAAAGTGAAAACAAAATGGTTTTGGGTTTTTTTTTATAACACTGAGCTGTGAAATTTGGTGGCATTCCTAGTTCTGACAGTCTTTTATTTTCCCTTCCTCCTTCCCATGATGCATTATGGAACTAAATTATGACATTTCCCCACACATTCTTGGATTGCATCTCGTAAAACTCCACTATCTTTGTGATACTATCAGCTGGAGGGTAACAATGTGCTTGACCTCAAGTCGTTCAGCATCTTATCTGCCTTTTCTGATTTGCGAGAGTTAATATGACGGGGTTCCTAGCAGTGCTCCCTCTAAGCCCGTGGAATGTTGGGAGTAAAAATTCTACTCTGTGAGCGACTGGCAGCAAAGTTGTGAGCGAGCGATTTGGCTGCTGCATTAATCAGTTTGCTCTGGAGTTGTCCTGCCTGAGCGAAGACAAAAATGTGTGAGCCAGAGGCTAAAAAACGGTGAGCTAGCTCACACTCACTCAACCTAGAGGGAACACTCGTTCCTAGCATGCTGGAAGCTTTTCCATGGCTGTTCCTAAGCCATGGACTGCGTAGTTTGCTTTTGGCCAAATGCGCAGGGAACGATGACTCTTCGTAAACTCATAGTCGGCAGGTTCCCGTTTTTTACATTGGGAGCAACAGAAGGTAATGAGCAGGGGTCATTTCTTGCGGGAGTGCACAGGAGCGAAGCTCTGGCAGTAAGCAGCCCAGGGGGTGGGCACATGCAGCAAGCCCCGCCCCCTGCTCCCAGCAGCCCTCAGTTGGGCCACAAGGAGCAAGAAGCAACCAGGTAAGTTGCAGAGGCCCCCCCCCCCCTTTCAGGAACAAGCTCTCCCTCCTCTGTGAGGGCAGATCTGCACGTTCTCTTCCCCCCCCCCCCCCAAACCCCACAACGCCAAACAGACAACGACACTGGTCCAGTGGCAATAAATTAGTTCGCTCTGGAGCCCCATCCTTCCTGAGCTGAGACAAAAATCTGTGAGCCGAAGGCTAAAAAACGGTGAGCTAGCACACACTCACACAGCTTAGAGGGAACCAGGGGTCATTTCCTGCAGGAGTGCACAGGAGCGGAGCTCCGGCAGTAAAGAGCCCAGGGGGCGGGCACATGCAACAAGCCGTACCCCCTGCTCTCAGCAGCCCTCAGTCAGAGCAAGAAGCAGCCAGGTAAGCTGCAGAGCCCCCCCCCCCACCATAGCAATCCAGAACAGTCCAGTGGCACCTTTAAGGCCAAGTTCTATTCAGGTAAAAGCTCTCCCTCCCCTGTGAGGGCAGATCTGCACGTGTTTCCCCCCCTCCCATTACCTAGCAATCCAAAACAGTCCAGTGGAGCCTGAGCGGTGGGTGTTGCCTTCTGACTCACGTCCGGTGATGCCAGGGGGTGTGGCATATGCAAACAAGCTATGCTAATAAGTTATGCTAATGAGCTCCTGCACCTCTTTTTCTACGAAATGACCCCTGGTAATGAGGGATCGTTTTTCTCCACCAGGGTGATGTTTGCCCCTCTTCTCTTTCTTCCCCCAAAGCAGAGAAGAGGCTTTCTAGAGGGATTTCTCACGCCAGCTCAGCAATCGTCTCCCTTGCTCGATCTCACGTGGCCAACGAATGCAACAGTGAACAGTTCCCACTGGAGATGCCCATCTACACATTCCAGCTCCCTGATCTCAGTGTTTACAGTGAGGACTTCAGGAGCTTCATTGAGCGAGATCTGATTGAGCAGGCCACCATGGTTGCGCTGGAGCAAGCAGGTGAGTGGATGCGCGCGCCTCTGGTTGGCTTGACCTTCTGGGGCACTCTGGATTACAGTAAAGCAAAACACAAAAAAGGAAACTGTGCAAAAAATGCCGCAGTTTATATCACAAACGCCTATATTTCCATGTAATGCCGAAAGTCCATCTGTTTTTTCCAGACACGCAATCAAAGAAGTCTTCACAAGGTCATGATGACGAAACTCTCATCCAGATTAGCAATTTCCGTTTCGTAGAGCCTTCCTAACAAGGTTGTCTTTAGCTTGCCTGCTTTGTCAAAACATGTATTAGAATTTATTCCGTGGCATGGATTGGAAACTGTATATTTTGAGAATGGAAGGATTGCTCTTTGAAAAATAAGGGATGACATCTTTGTGTTGTCGATCTCTGATGAAGGCTCTGCGAAACGGAAATTCCCTTCCTCTCCCCACAACAAACACCCTGTGAGGTACGTGGGGCTGAGACAGCTCTTTCGAGGACTGGTCTTGAGAGAACAGTTCTAAAAGAACTTGTGACTGTCCCAAGGTCACACTAGTAGCTGCATGTGGAGGAGCGGGGAGTCCAACCCGGTTCTCGCGGATTAGAATCCACGCTCCTAACCACTACAACAAACTGAAGAAGAGTTGGTTTTTATACTCTGCTTTTCACTACCCAAAGGAGTCTCAGAGCAGCTTACAATCTTCTTCCCCTTCCTCTCCCCACAACAGACACCCTGTGAGGTACGTGGGGCTGAGAGAGCTCTTTTGAGGACTGGTCTTGAGAGAACAGCTCTGAGAGAACTTGTGACTGACCCAAGGTCACACCAGCAGCTGCACATGGAGGAGCAGGGAATCAAACACCGTTCTCCCAGATTAGAGACCACTACACCAAACTGGCTTGTTTCTAGATGGGAGCTTTTGAAAGTCAAAGCTCCCTTCATTAGATACAAGTAGGAAGCGAGATCCCCGAGCTCTTATATCCCAGTCCTATGGTGTGAGGAGCTTGCAAAGAAGAAAGGATGCAGTCCTGACTCCCTTCTTTGTAACACCCCTGACACCCAATGCTCCCTCTAAGCGGTGGAGTCCTGTGAGCAAAAGTCCTACTTTGTGAGCTACTGGCATTAAAGTTGTGAGCGAGCGATTTGGCCGCTGCATAAATTAGTTTCCTCTGAAGCCATCCTTCCTGAGCTAAGACAAAAACGTGTGAGCGCCGGAGGCTAAAAGACTGTGAGCTGGCTCGCACTAACTCAGCTTAGAGGGAACATCGCTCCCACCTTCTGACTTGCACTATAAGGGCTCATGGATCTCCATTCCTACCCTTCTCTGACAAAGGGAGCTCTGTCTCCCAAATGCTCATAACCCTCAAAATCTTGTTCCTCTCGAAGGTGTTCCTGGACTGAAATGTAGAATTCTAGAGGAATACCTAAATAGTTTAATTAGGCAGAGCGAGAGATTAAAGAGGCTTTTTATATAACACTCCACTTCAGAAATCTGCAGCTGTATTAGCCGCCTATCCACATGTGGTCCTGTCCTTGGTGATTAGACGTAGGCAGGGATGGATTTGACAAATCAGCATTAATAATCTCCTTGAAGGTCACTGCGGCTTGGTTTCCCGCACAGTGCCTAAGCTTTGCATTAGGCTAGTAAGTGTTAGGTTGGCATATTCCGTCCCCCTTGTCCTTCCACGTGTTCCCATTCCCTTCCTGACACAACAGATCGTGTCATGCTGTGATAGGTGAACTACCAAATGTTGATTTGCGCACCACCCCCACCTCCAAGTCATTCATGGTTTCCATTTTGAGTTTGGAGAAGAAGAGAAGAGATTGGATTTATACCCCGACCAATGTTCCCTCTAAGCTATGGAGTCCTGTGAGCAAAAATTCTACTTTGTGAGCTACTGGCATTAAAGTTGTGAGCCAGCGATTTGGCTACTGCATCAATTTGCTTGCTCTGAAGCCATCCTTCCTGAGCTGAGACAAAAATGTGTGAGCCAGAGGGTAAAAAACCGTGAGCTAGCTCACACTAACTCAGCTTAGAGGGAACACTGACCCCGACCTTCACTACCTGAAGGAGTCTCAGAGCGGCTTACAATCTCCTTTCCCTTCCCCTCCCCACAACAGACACCCTGGGAGGTCGGTGGGGCTGAGAGAGCTCTCTCGAGGACTGCTGTTGAGAGAACAGCTCTGAGAGAACTTGTGACTGACCCAAGGTCACACCAGCAGCTGCGTGTGGAGGAGTGGGGACTCAAACCCGGTTCTCCCAGATTAGAGTCCGCACACCTAACCACTACACCAAACTGGCTCTCATATACACATATTAGTTGCATAGTTTGAGCTAGTTTGATGTAGTGGTTAAATGCATGGACTCTAATCTGGGAGAACCGGGTTTGATTCCCCAGTCCTCCACTTGCACCTGGCTGCATGACCTTGGGCAAGCCATAGTTCTGATCAGAGCTGTTCTTGAAAAAGAGCAGTTTCTGTTAGAGCTCTCTCAGCCCCACCCACTTCACAGGGTGTCTGTTGTGGGGAGGGGAAGGGAAAGGGGTTTGTAAGCCGGTCTGAGACTCCCTTGGGTAGTGAAGGGTGGGATATAAATCCAATCTCTTCTCTTCTTCTTCTAGTTTGGATGTCACATTCCAGAACTAAGTACACATATTTGGAACTGGCGGTGCTTCTTTGATGATAATGATAGCGTTTCCTGGACCGCTGTTCCTTTTCCCTAATACTTTACGAAATTGCCTTCCAGAGGAAGATATATGCATTAAATAAGAAAAAAGAATTGTTTTGAGTGGCAGATCTTCCAAGAGTTACACAAACTGCTGTTACACAACAAAAATTACACAAAGAGGTGTTTGGTTCTTCCAGAGGCACTGCACAAGGCCTGTTTACGTGGCTGTTATCATCACTGTACAATGCCTATAAAAACGTATAGCTATTGTGTGGGTTTTATTAGTATTGTAGACTAATTTATCTTTCCACCGGTTCTGCATTTTTGCCTAAATACTTTGCATGGAGCAGGTGACATGTTGTTATTTTGCAAAGCCCACAAGAAAGGAGTTGCTAAAAACGAGAACGTGTTATTTCCAATTTTATCTTTCCCGAAGGCTGTCCAACACGCTTCAAACTATCTTTTCTAGGCACACTCTTAATTTAGATTTAATAAAACTGGTTAGGGACATTAAGTCGATCCCAGCTGCTGCTTACGGAATACCTCTGAAGGTTACCAGGTTTGGGTAATTGTATTTACAGTTGATAACATTTTCCAGTATATCCCTTTTATCTTTGAGGACTGCCTCTCCTGGCATACCCCCTTTAAATAACAACACACTGACGTTCACGGGGCCAAGGACTATTCGTCTGGCCTCACCTAAAGCTAGAGCCTTTTCGGCAGTAGTTCCAAATTGGCGGAATACACTTCCGAGCAAGATCTGGGCCCTGTGGCACTTGGCTCATTTCTGCAGGCCCTGTAAAATGGAGATGTACCGCCATATTGAAGAGATGATGAAGAAGAAGAGATTGGACTTATACCCTGCTCTTCACTCGGAGTCTCAGAGCAGCTTACAGTCTCCTTCCCTTCCTCTCCCCACGACAGCCCCCCTGTGAGGTAGGCGGGGCTGAGAGAGCTCTG